TGTTTCTTTTATGATATTTTCTACTTACATATTCTGTCATTTAAATGAAGGCCACAAGCAGATTTACTCATTTGCAGTAAATTACATGCAACAGAATATCATTAAGCTGTTGCCTTCTCATGATTCATGAGAATCATGGATCTACCTAGGCTAATGTTATCAGGACTTGACTTAAAGCATTTTTTCAAGTTTTTAGGCAGATTTTTTTCCAGGCCAGCCCGGAGGCAATGGAAGCTTTTTGCCTGGAGCTTTTTGCACTGAAAGAATGATTGTTGCTGAAGAACTTTGGAAATACTGTATCCATAGCTCCTACATGGTCTCCCATTGCCAGATCTAAATATCTTCATGAAGTGGATGAACACTGCAATAAAGAACTTCATCTGGTTAGGTTATCTATCCCCAAGCTTCTTTGTGATGACAATTTTTCCTCTGGACTAAAATGTGGTGAAAGCATATTGTAGGACCCCAGCCAACCTAATGTCTCTCCATCAATTGCTTTGGCCATTCTGCCTGGGAATTTTGGGAATTGCAATTCCAGTATTTTGGGGAAGTACACCACACTGAGGAAATGCTATTATTGCTAGAATATTTTGTGAATACCACTGGTGTCTCCCAAATAACTGTCTAATTAATTGCCTAATTCCAAAACCATGCTAATAATGCCTTTACTAGGCAACTGAAGGTGCAGAATTATTTATTGATCCCATGGTGAGAAGAAGAAAGGAGAGGCAAAAGCTACTGATTCAAGGGAACGTTTAGAATAGAATAGAGCCTTCTAGTCCAGCCTCCTGCTCAAGCGGGAGAGCCCATACAATCTCATCCAGTAACTATCCAGTTGATGGATTTCAAAGACCAGTCATTGTGCAGGGTGCCAAGATGCCTGACTACTCATGCAGTGTTTATTCTTTTTATATGGTTTTGCACAAGCAGCATTAGGATTGGTGAACCCCCCCCCACCAATCCTTAAGAATAGTGGTGATGTTAGTAAGGTGAGATCATTGTACCAAGTCTGGGACAGGGAGTGAGATCATGCAAAGTGTGTGTATTAGGCACAGCATAATGCTGCGTGTGCCCTCTACAGGATCTCTATTGCTACTACATCCAGTCTCATCTTAAAAGCCTCCATTGATGGAGCACCCACAGCTTCTGAAGGCAAGTTGTTCCACTGGTTAATTGTCCTTTACAGTTTATTTCACTTATTTCACCTATTTCACTTACTTCTTACACTTTATACAGGCAGTCCTCAACTTTGAACCATTTATTTAGCGATCATTTGAAGTTACAAAGGCACTGAAAAAAGTGCCTTATGACTGACCCATTGACATTCAAGCCATGCCTACCAGATTACATTTCAATTAGATCACATAGCAGAGAATCTCTAGATAGGCAACTTAAATCTCATCAGTCACAGAAGTGGTCTTAAAGCTGACATAAAGATGGAGTTGTTGATAAATGAACAGAAATTGCATATATGATGAAGACCAACTATTTCAAAGGAGTGTAAACAATGTAATAAAGCCCATGGATTCCAACGCAGTCTTCTTTTTTCCCTTTCTCTTCTTCATTCTGAGGGCTGTATAAATGTTTCCTTTTGAATTGAAGTCCATAAATTTTAGAAATGAGTCTTTGGTAATCAAGTCCACATTGTAATTGGAGAAAATCATTTCTAATTTTCTACTGCATTACCAATATACTCAAAAGCCCAAGCTAATGAATCAATCCAATCTGAGAACTATTTGTTCTGTGTGTATGTTCTGCTAGTCAAGGATAGATTGATTCCAAATGCAGACAATATTATGCCCTGGCTGTTTTTCCATTGCATTCCATTGATCAGCATTTTCTTTAACTTACATTTTATTCCAAGAAGCCCTCTGTTTATATACGATAGAATCCAATTGTGCTGTGTGTTTTTTAATTTTGTTTTATTTACAAGCTATTTCTTTCCTCTGTAGCATTTCCATAGAACATGAAAAAGAAGTCCACATTTTACATTTTGCAATATTTATTTTAGGCTGATGAATGCCAACCCACATTTTTATGGCCTGCTGCTGCAACCAAAGGCCTTTTTTCCCCACCACTGATTTAGAGGGTTTGCACCCATCCTTAAACTGAAGAAAACTAGATTGTATCAAAAATGTGCTGTTCTCATTCCCATTTCCTATCCTGCTTCTTCTACCTGTTTCATGTCTCTATGGGCACCTGCTTCCTTCCAAGGTAATGGATGAAGAACTCAAGAGATTTTACACACCTTGAGGCTGGGCTTAAATGGTATCAGAATAAAGGGGAAATACTACCTTAACATGTCTACAATTGGCTTAAACTAGTTTTTCTTTTCTTTTTAAGTTTTATTGTTTTTTTAAGACAAACATAAACAAACACAACATAAAAACATCAAATATATATGCATACAGTGTGTCGGTTGGTTTACAAATTGTTTTGTGCTTCCACTTCGTAGTCTTCAATTACAATTACATTGTATATGTTCTCATATTGTCAATCAAATACTCCTAGATACATTATCATTATTAATCAATCATTTGACTATACTATTATATATTCATGTTTTACAAGATAATCCATATTTTACTTAATTTGTTTTATGGCAGTTCATATTTCCATCTCAAATCTATCCTATAACCATTTTATAGATATAATTAAAAAATACATCTTTATATATTCATTATGTTCTAAAAATCTACATATTTCATTACCATGTTTTATTGTCTAACCATTGATAGAAGCTTAAACCAGTTTGTGGAATGAAGTTGAGATGAAGGCATCATGGGGACATAACAGAAAAACACAGGCTGCTCAGAAGGGGTACAAGTGTTAAAAGGCCCTAATTACCTACTGCAAGGTAATTTAATCATCATTGGAAAAGGACAGTCTCACGGTCTGTAGTCTTTCCCCTTAACAAAGTGGTAGGTATACAAATCTGGCAGCCTCCATTCTGGAAGAGTATGAAGTGCTGGAAGCCGTTGGGGCCATCGCAGGAAAAACATAGTATATCTGTCATGAGAAACATGACAAACTTGCTAGGAAGGGTGAATAACAGCAGCACCTTTTGTGGAAAATAAATCACTACCCACCCTTCCAAAACAATAGATGTTAGATGTGCAAACCAAAAACAACAATAAGCCAAAAGCAAAAGGCAGAATGAAGGAAGAAAAAAATCAGAACACAAAAAAATGTGCCCCTTTCTGGTAAAGGAAACCGCATTAATTAAAAAGAAAAAAAAGGAAAAGGAAAAAAAAAATACATGCAGATTTTTTATGGGCCAAAACTCTGCCACGCCAATAAAGCTCCCTTCCCCTAACTCTCTACCTCCCCTCCTTCTTTTGAAGTCGCAGGCGAGATTCAGTAAGTTGAGCCATGTTAGCAATTAGAAATTTGGCCATGGCAGGGACCTTATTCTGCAGAGTTGGAAGGTGATAAATCTTGAAAACTCGAAAGAAAAAGTCTGATTTTTTCCCCTCTGCGTTTTTTGCTTTTAATTTTCAGCAACAGAAGCCAGAAATGGTGATTAATTAAAGCAAAGGGGAGAAGGAAGGCCAGGGCAGGCAAAAGAACTCCTTGGAGGCAAAGTGAGCTACCTCCCTTCTCCTTCTTTCCTTTTTTTTTTTATCTCTTCAAATTTTCTCCTATCCAGCTACCTCGATTCTTCGCGAGACGGACAACCCCCCTCCCGCGCCTCCCCCCCCCCCCCCCCCCTGCCCTTTATTTTTCTTTCCCCTTCTTCCCCCCCCCCCCCCCCGCTTTCTTTCTTTAAGGGGAGAAGGCAGGAGGGGGAGTCAGCAAGCAACATGCACCAGGTGGCTCTCAACTGCTGCCTGCCAAATATATGAGAAACTAAAAATCCTTCTCTAGAAAACAAGATTTATTTTTTTTTAAAGGAGGAGGGTTCCCTAGAGGGGATTGGCTGATCCTGGAAGACAGGGAAATTAGGAAGGCATGAGTCTCCCAGCCTTGCTGGTGGCCAGAACGGTTTGGGGAGCAATTAGCAGAAGACGGCGGCTGCGGTGGCTCCTACAAAGAAGGAAAAAAGAGAGAGAGCGAGTGAGCGCAAGAGAGAGAGAGAGAAAGGGGACAGATCTTGGGGAGTCGTTTTTCCTCTCTGTGTGGGTCTCTCTCTCTCCCCGTCTCTCCCTCCCCCAGCAGGCGCTTGCTCACTGCAACTTGCGAAAGGGTTTCAGATGTCCCAGCACCGCCGCTTTGACAGTCTCTCTCCCCCCGCCCCTCCCGCAAATAAAACTTGACCACCAGAGGCACGTCTCACCTCTCAGCTTTTGTAATCTTTAGCGTTTAGGATACAGCCTCCAACCTGCCGGCAAGCCAAAGCACAGAGAGAGCAAGGCGAGCAGCCTCGTCCACTAAGCCTTGGGGTCGGTCGTCCCTATTTCCTTAGAGAAATAGAGAGCGTCGTTGTAAGGTTCGCCTCTCGCCCTCGGGAGGATTCCGGAGAGGGAGAAAAACCAAAAAAAAAGTGTACGGAAGGAAAACGAACCGCCGGCAAAGGCAACTGAGTCCTAACCCGCTTACTTTTCGCTGAGGAGACCTGCGCTCGAGCGAAGATTTCTGGGGTGAGAAGGAGGTGCAGAAGCCAGCCTGGGCGGGGGGCGGGCGGGAGGGGGGATGTGGATTCGGATCTGCTTTAAGCCGTTTAATTTGGTGTTGTTTTTGTTTTGTTTTTTTAAAGGGTTCGAATTAGAGAGCCATTCTTTGCCTCTGGTTGCTGACTCGCCTGTCATCTCTCTCTCTCTCTCTTTCTCTTTTCCACAGCTTCGCCTGCCTTCCCTGGGGAAGATGGTACAGGGAGCCCCGAGGACCGAGCCCCGTTAAGCCCAGGCTTTGGCGCGTGGCTCGGCCTCCGGATCGTGGCCTCCGCCTCGCGCGCGCGCGCGTGGTTTCCTTTGGCTCCCAACCGCCGCCCCCCCCTCCCCCCCCCTCCCGCAACCCGCGAACTTGCTATCTACACACGGCGGGTCTTCGCTCCGCTTTTCGCCGAGAGGGAGCGTGAGGCAACCCGAGTCGCCTTCCCTGAGCGGCCATCGCCGCCCCTCCACACCCTCCACACCTCCCCGCCCCGAGGCGAAGAAGGGCCAAGGCTCCGCAGGCGCCCCCCTCCCCCGAGGCAAAGGGGAGGGGGAAGGCCGCCGTTTTTTTGTTTTTTTTTTCCCGGAGAGCTCGCCCCCTGAGGCATGGATGTCGGCGCCCTCCCTTCAGGCCAGATCAGCGCTCCGGAGGCTCTGAGCGAAGGGGCTCCCCACCAGCTGTCCGCTCGCCTCGCCCGGGAGCTCACCCTCCCAGCATGTTTCTTTCCATGAGGCCTCTCCCTGCGCCCAGAGCTTCAGTACAATGTGCAGATGGAGACTGATACAGGGTGCCTTCGCCTCTGCCCACCTGCCTTCCTCCTCTTCCTCCGCCGGCCGCGGCGGCTGGGGCTTCTTGCTGCTGCTCTGCCTGATGTCTTCGCTGACCGCCTCCAGCTATGAGCACGGGCGCGGCGTGCTGCCTCTCAAGGCCGCCAACGCCTCGTCCACCTCTTCTTCTTCTTCTTCCTCCTCCTCCTCCTCTTCGGCCGCCAGCGCGGGGAGACACGTGCGGAGCTACGATCACCTCCGAGGAGACGTGCGCCAGAGGAAACTCTATTGCTTCAACAAGTTCTTCCTCCGGATTGAGAAGAACGGGAACGTGAGCGGCACCAAGAGGGACAACTGCCCCTACAGTAAGTGCGGCCCTTCTCTGCCTTGACCCTGAGGTCTTCTTCCCAGGCACCCCGTACTAACCCCCGCTTCTTTGTTAAACTCAGTTATTAAGTGACTCCTTCGGGTCATTCGCGGGAAGAGGGCAGTGAACTTCTGCCTGAAGTCCACTCCGAGGATCTGGGAACCTTCTCCCTGCTCGGTGGGGCAGTTCTGCTCTCCAAGGCAAGCGAGAGCCTGCTCCAGCGGGGCACCTGAAGGAGCCGCTTGGAGGAGAAGGGGGTGGGGGCAGGCCCTTTGCACATGCTCAAAAAGCTCTGCACCTTGTGCGTCTCTCTCTCTCTCGGGTAGATTCATTATTGTTTCATCTGATTGATTCTGGACAAGTTGAAGGGTGGCGCATCTATTGGTCCGAATAAAGGTAGTTGGTCCTCTTAAGGGTGCTGGGTTCCCCCCACCCACTTCTCCTCCTCCCCCCTCCTGGCTTATTCTTCCCCAGATCTAGACTTTTTCTCCTTACTTTCGGGCTGGCACCCCTGGATCTCGGATTTTCTCGAACCGTCTCGGTGGATTCACGGGCAGGAACTTCACCTTGGGAGCAGTAAATTGGGTTGTTGAACAGAAGAGAGCCGGCAGATGGTTTGACTAAACTTAGCGTTCCCTAGTTCGCATCTGGCTGTTCGGTCGCCAATCTCCGTCCACTTGGAGTTTGCCACCTCCCCGGGCAGTTTTGAGCACCTCGCTGCTGGCTGGGACGCACAACCTTCAGGGCGTCAGGTTTTAATTATTTGGAAACCGTCGTCTCCACTCTCGTCGCTCCGTTTCTCCCTGCTTAGCGGGACCGTAAGGCGAGGATGTGGGAGAGAGAGAAAGAGAGAGCTCGGAGAGAAGGGACACACAAACCCCTTTCTCGCCGCTCCGTCTGGTACCTGCCCGCCGCGTGCGCTCCTGCTTTAGTGCCTTCCCCGAGCCCGGGAACAGGCGGCAATGCCCGCTTCCAAGCTGTGGAATGCCCCGCTTCTTGGGAAAAGTTGTCCGAAAAGTTTCCTTCCACAAATCACACACACACACACACAAAGCAGAGGGAGGTAGCCTGTTGTTCAGTAGATTTTAAAGGTGCAGAAGCTGACGTTTAGGGAGCGCGGCGCTGTTCTTCGAATAAACCGAATCTTTTGGCAGACTTAATAAGGTGGCCGTTTTTCGATTGAAGAAATAATCTCTTGAAGAAGAATGGGAAGGTGGTTGTTCTCCGCGTTATTTATTCATTCATTATTTATTTATTTTTAACAGCGGGTTTTAAATGGTCCTTTCTTTTGCCGTTAGTTAGCTGGACAGCACAGATCTCTTTTTCCCCCCTGGAGTGTTTCATATATATATATATTTTAAAAGGTATGCTTGGGAGCAAGGTAGCTTGGAGGCATTTGGCATCAGTTTTTTGCCTGGGCTAAACTGGACATTGTTTGTGTGGCTTGGAAGCATCTGACCTGGAGTTTTGTGCATTCGGTCAGGTTTTACATCACTGCCCCTTGTCCCTGCTTAAGGATGCTGCAGCTCTGTGAGAACCTTTTAAACCTCTGCCTTTGCAAGGGACCGCGCACAGCCGTCTTCCTCTTATTCACGTCTATTCAGATTTAAAGTCAAGTAGAACTGTCTTGGCCCTGGAGAGACTTTCTCTCCACTTGCCTGCACAATCTCAGCAGAAGCAACTGTTGTAAATCACAGCCGGTTTCGTTATACTTTTAAGTGACTCCATGCTGCTGAAATTAAATAAATAAATAGCATGTTGGGAAAGATAGCCTCTGCTAGACAAATGTTTGAATAAGCTTCTTTATTGCCTCTGGAGGTGGGGAAGGGAGGCTGGTGTTTCCCCTTCCGATGCCTTGGATTCCTGCTTATTCCTACCCACATCCTGCCTTTTCTCAAGAATTTCCCGTGGACAACCTTGAGGTTTTCCCTTTTTTGTAATCCTTCCAGTAACCCAGTGAGGTAAACTGGGGACAGCAGCACAGGGCAGGGCTGGCTTTAGTGTTGGCAGCCACAGACAACAGTCTGAGAGAGCTGGCACCCTTATCCTGTGACTGACATTGTTGGGACGTCTCCTTTATTAGATGTCAAAATTGTGTGGCCTTAAAACATTTCCTGGGCCAGGCATGCTGGCTCAGAGGTCTTAGATGCCACTGTTCAGTCTCCTGGGTTAGGAATCTGGTAGCACTTTTTAATTTTATTAAAAGCATATGCAAAAAGTTGTTAACGCATCACACTTGTTAATGGGTAAGATGCTTGGAACCTCTCTCACATGTCACTTGGCATAATCGACCTAGCTTCCCCCCTCCCCACTTCTCAACCCAGTTTAAATCCTATATCAAACTAGAGTGAAATGAGCTGTAGATGATGAAAGCTTTTCAAAAAATGTGCTAGTTGGAGAAGGTGCTACGGTACTTCTCCTGATTTTTTTTGCCATTGACTAACACAGCTCTGCTCCTACTCTGTCAAAATGAGTCCGTGGCCATCCAGGAGTCTTCTATACCCAGAATGAGAAGGATAACAGATTCCTTGGGTTGGCCCTGCCATCCTATTTATTTCAAGACAGAGAATATTTCCCCACTTGCCACCAACCTTGGTATTAATTTCTCCCGGGCAACATTTTCTTCTGCCATCTCCGTCTCTTCTGAAGCCTGTGAGTTCAATTTCTGTTGGTACTGTTATCAACTGTTACTATTTTAATTTTATCTGTATTAAAATTAAATTCTCCACTCTTATTATGATACTGTCAAAAGGCTGCATCCAGGAGTATATAAAATCTCATAGGCATTGTTACTTCTTACCTTGGAAGGAAATCAGAGGACTGGCAGTGATTGGCAACGGAGTAGAGGCAGGAAAGGAAGGAGTGATGGAACAGCATATTTTATGCTGCAGAAGTGGATAGAACTTCAACTCATCTGTGAGGAAGGATCCTGAGACACAAATGCTGTGTTTTCTCACATTCCGAGGCCCTGCATTAGGTAGCTTTGTTTTAAACTCCTTCCAATAGAATCACCTAAAGAAAGTACCATGTCAATTCTAGGTGGACAGAGTACATCAGTGTAACCCAAATAAGAAGTGCAGTGAAATGGAGACAGAATCATTTTGATTGATTGATGGTTTGCCATCAAATTGGTGTCTTAGTGACAGACTTTCTCTGATGTGAAAGCAGAATCTTCAGAACAGAGTTTTGGAAAGGGCCATTCACGCCAGTAAACCCAACTATCGGCTCAGTTTAAGGATCCAAATTAAAACAGCCCCAACAGGTGACTGTCTGACATTTATCTGAACATATCTAGTGAAGGAGACCATAAACACTTCTCTGGGAAGCTGATTCCACTGTCAAGTTATACTTACTGTTAGGCAGTTTTCATTCAATTAAAAGTGGCTTCTGGAAATTCAGATCCATTGTTCTGGGTCCTGTATTCAAGAATGTCACGGTTGATGTTCTTCAGTGCAGCATTCTCTCTGGCATTTGAAGAATACTGTCATATCCCCACCTCAGTCTCCATTGTGGTGTTCCAACACTGGAAGTTTTTAGAATAGACTGAATAGCCACTTGTCTGAAATGGTATAGGATCTACTGCTTGGTCAGGAGTTTGGACTAGAAGACCTCCAAGAACCCTTCCAACTCTGTTATTCCATTACTCTACTACTCTTTAAGATCTGGCAGATGGTACAGGATAATAAAAGCTAGGCTGAAAAACAGCTTCTATCCCAGGGCAGTAACTCTATTGAATTCTACTGCATAGTGCAATATTAATGCAATATCAGGGGTTTTCAATTCAATGTATAGAATGTGAAGGATGTGTGTTTGTGTTTATTTTCATAGTCATAATGTACACTGAAGATGGCATTTAATTTTGTTGTATGAGGTGCAATGACAATAAACTAAACTAAACTTTTTATTTCAAAGCTAAACGTACCCAGCTCCTTCAATTCCATTCCATACTAACTTGAAACAGCAGGCATGATGCAAATTTGAATGACATTTATTACTGGACCTAAGTGTGGTATCCACCCCTTTATTTGTGTTGACTTGCATAAAGAATCTAATTTTTAATTTCTTTATGCCCTAAAGCTCTTTATGCTCAACTAGACACCCTGTGTCATTGGCTTTAGCCATTTACCATGGGCATGAGGGAATGATCACTCATCTGGAGAATTGGTCTGTGCCAAAAGCATTATTTCACACTTTATGAAAAGACTAGTAGGAAGCAATCATAGGCTCACTTTATTTCCAAGATAGGATTGCTTCTTAGGGCTCTGCAGTACTTTAGATTTGAAAGGGAGAAGATGCTTCAGAGC